AAATGCCGTGGTTGTTGATGACAGGCCGTTACACAAGAATCTGGTGATTGAAAGCGTTACACTGCATAGTTGTCCTAGCCCTTGGTATGAGTACCGTATAGATTCTGTTGCCAAGGGTTCCTTTATCTTAGCTCTAAGTTAGGCAGGCTTGAGTGCGTTTTCTGATGTGGAAACTTTTGTAGATGCATAAAAAGTTGCCTCAGATGTCGCATACTGAGGGGTTCAAGCCGAAGTTCATTACAAAGTTCTCAGTTATTTGGGGCAAATTTGTCTAGAATGAAGGTTTGTTGGAGTATATCTGTAAATGTTCTTTGGCCGTAACCATACATAAGTTGTAATATTCACGGATGGGACGAGTGAGGCTTTAGAATATATCTAGTTTGGCAGGATTGCATTGCTTTTCTTATACGTCTGCGACTAAGTGTCTAGAAGTGGCTATTTAGCATTGGGCTTGTTCACAATAGCGGAAATTGGAGGTATTATGGACTCCAAGATCATGGGTAGATTTCGACATTGACATACTTTTTTAACTAGAAAATTATGCGCATAGGATTGGTAAAACTTAAGGTTGCGAACAGCACTTCATTCGATCAATCTCATCAGACTCTTACGGTCATGAAAGCAAAGTTTTGAAACAGGATGGACTGGTGATGCGGAATAGAGATTGGCAGATTCAAACGAGGCAGAAATTGAGCTGTCGTACTCAATAAATTGGTTGATCTACTCAGATAGCAGCTACCATAATACACGTAGGGGGACATAGACACGCACATATACTCAAGAGACAAGACAAACTTTTCAGCTGGTTAAGTGACTCACTCATCACCCGCTGACTGTCGTCGTGTGAAGCGGAATCTGACTGGAAGTATGTTAGTCCCAGAGCAGAAGGAGCAGTTGAACAAGCGCCCTCTGTGTAGTTAAGGTTCTGCAAGCCTGATTGCAATGGCTTCGACTGTCCGTAACACTAGATTCCTAATACCTTTATGATGACGTTTTGGTACGAGATACATTACTATGAAAGACATCAGTAGTCCTAAAAGGGTGTGCACTTTCGACCAGAGGTCATAGGATAGAACTCTTGATTCAAACGATAGTACTTTTGTGCAATGCCGCGGAACGGTGCTGCGATATCCCTTTAGACAGATGCCTAGTCATATATCTGTGGTACTTCACACCACAACTAGGAAGTAACTTGGTATAGTATGTATGATTCGGACTGGACCACGAGTCCGTTTTTTAGACGTTGGGAAACAAACGGCACGGCTTTGGTGATGACGTGTAGATAGGCGCCTGGGAAGTTTCAAGCTACTGCAGTGGAAACATTTTGTTCCCCTAAATCGAAAGCAATATCTCTCTTGAAGTGAACTGATAGAAAGCTGTCTTTCTTGGGAATAGTTGCAAGTAATTTACGACGAGCATGAATCACTGGGTTCTTTCGGATAACCGGCGGTTGGGTAATCGCTTTCCTGCAGCCTTTAGGGTGTATCCTTCCTTGCGACATGCATTGTCACTGGACTGCAAATTTTGTCAGCTCGAGCGTACAAGCAAGGAACAAGGTACAATTTGTACTTCAAGGGTACAAAACTGATAAATTGCGCTTCACTAGCCTATTCTGTTCTAAACTTCCATTTTATACTTTTAAGCGTCTGCTGGGATTTATCTAAAAGAGATGCAGTTTTGTTGAGTCTGACGGAACCTTCTGGAATCGAGGGACAGTTGGGCATTTTGTTTAATTTGTTAGACAAATATTTTAATTCACGCGTTGCACCATTCCTCAGGAGAATGAATACTGTTTTGAATCAGCAGCAGTGGATGCTGAAGCTCATAACACCGATGCTTGCAGACAATCTTGAGGTCTTCAGCGAACAAAAGAGCGGACCGTTTTTGATAAACATACCAATGTGCTTGATGTAAGGGCAAATCCGCAATGCGCTAACTAAACTTCCCTGGGTAATATGGTTGGTCATAAGGAGTGGGGAAGATTGACTATTCGTAAACGAAAACTAAGCTAGGAGGAAGACAAACTTAAAAGTGGTTTCTAATTTCAAAAGGTTTCGGTCCGTTTCTACAACCTTTTATGACCTACGCGATCAATTCCTCTTTCAATATCCCAAAATAAATGTGTGATTGCAATACCGGCGTCCATGGATTTCGATGTGTGACTAAGGCAGCGTAGTGGGCAAACTCATGAGACTGGGACCGAACAAAAAGCGAGATATCTGCCTTTGCAAATAAAACATTTCCTGCTTTACGCTGGTCCGTACACTAACGGATTAAAAGCCATCATCGTAATCCGTGGGCACAAATTCGAGGATGCGTAGGGAACCTGGCGACTCTCGCAATATCCTTAGCTCACTGCGACTATTGGTGGTTGCGCGGCGGCGTTGCATCGGCACGCAGTATCGACATTTTGCCGACAGCTGTGTACATGGGCCATCTAATTTTCTTTTCAAGATCGCGATGGTTGACAGCTACAAACCATTAGAAGTCTGTCTGCTAAGATGGGCGACAGTGACCTCTCGCTCACCCACAATGCAGTGTGATGCACGAAAAGAACTGTCGAGTATTAATCTGCTGACGACTCACACTTATTGATGACGAAACATGACTGTTTTTGTTGTGTGAGAGATTCATCGCGGCTATACTTAGTCAGACAGTCACCACACACTCAGGAAAGTGCTGGACGATCTTTTCGTCCTATTAGGACTCGTCGGTAGCGCGCAGCCGCCGAATCTTGCAGCATCCTAACCCACGACCTTACTTCTACGAGCACGCGACCTATGCGTTGAGCTATGCGTGCACCTATGGTAACATGCAACAAGTCTTTTTGTTACTTTCGAGTAGGAGGGTTTTAGTTGTAATTGTTTGTACCACAGTGCATCTGCACTGCACAGACACGTCGCAGCGGAAGTGGGGAGAGAGATGAAAGATCCCATTCCATTCTTGAGGACGCGGATAGTGCGAGCTGCTTGTCGCCCAATAGCAGGTTCTTCCCCTCATTAAATTAAGACGGTGAGATAGTTGCTGAATTGGCCTGAGGTTACTCCAACGCAAAATATGCATGGTTCTGTGAAAATGTCTGAAAATAGTCCATGACTGTTAAATTAGTAGTACAGGTAAAAGAGTCCACATGATAAACAACAGACTACGGGAAAGCGCCACCCGTTTTCCTCCAGCACGCGGGTTGACAACTGGGTATACATTTTGTGCCATAACCGGCACCGTCAAATACCAAGGTTGGAAAAACCTCAGTACTATGGACATGACAATAGACTGCCGGATATGTTTAGTAAACACTATTTAAAGTACTTCTGGCTAGCTAACGAAGTTCAACTAAGGAAAACTTACACGAGACTTGGTATATGTAACTGGAGGCATGTGGATTTAGTAGCGTTCAAAGAGAATGGCAGAGAATTTGGTTGAATCGATCAGCGATCGGAAAGAAAGAATACCCAATACACATCGGTGCACAATAAACTACAATTTTGAAATGTCATACACAGCATGATTCCAACACTAGAACTGGGTCGCGACGCATGTTTTGTGAGATAATGCTGTCGACGCCGGTCAACAGGTGTCATACTCACATGACAGGTTAGAAACACATGGAAATTACGTCAACAGTCATGCACCAAGTCACACTGCACTTGCTGCCATTCACTAAGATGCCATTTCGTGTACTCTCCGGCTGAGATTTTCATGACCATCTGTACACTCAGCTTATATTACGTGTGATCCTAGGTAAGGAAACATGAGAAGGTCTTTGAGTTGAGTCGAAACGTAGTACTCAAGTGACTGCATCCACCATAAAGAGTATTAAGGTGAATAGAATTTCGCTGCAAGATTTCAAAGTCAGTTGCTCTTATTCCTGTTCCATGATTACAAAATACGTAGCAAAACTCTAGTTTCGGGGTGCTTAGAGGAGGTTTCCAACACCCCGCCGGTTATCCTTCGGTATGTCCAATAGATAGCGTTGCTTACGTTGATCGTACTATGCCGATAAACATTCAGAGGGGATCGAACTATAAAGTGTTTCCGTTCAATACGTTGATTGACCACGCAAGCTTTAACTGATCCAAATTTACGTTTCTGAGCTTATTCGTGCGGTATATTCTTGTTGCTCGTTAGCTAAATGACACACTTATTAAATTACGAGCTCTTAACAATGCGCTCTACAATCACAATCGCCTCAGCTGCAACTGCACCTTTACTTGAGTCTATTAGTCTGAGTTCTATTAGATTACACTCCTCTGAGCCACCTTTTGACATGGCAGTTAAGCTGTTTGTTGGGTCTTTATCTGTTTCGTTGTTGCTCGAATTGCAGTAAGCATCTTCGTTGAATCAGGATGATACTGGTATCCAACTTCCCTCTTTCTGAACTCTGTAAAGAGGTCCAACATGGTGCAAATTGGCTTTAATTCCTTTCAACTGAACACAATACGATGTTGGTCTTGACATTTCCCTACAGTTATCCGCAGCTGGTAGCTAAATTGTGACATCGCAGTTACAGCACACCTTTTAGTACCGTACTACCAAGCTTCGAATTTGTAATATGACTAATTTTCATACACTTTTTACTGGGTTTTTACATATTTGGTTTGCGCCTTATGTGTCTATTGTTTTCCGGGCCTATGATATCGGGCTACCACTTGAGATCCCGTATCTGGTCACACAAAGATCTCCCCATTTGAAATCCCCTCCTTATTCGTTGACGGACGGGCCAGTGCGGATTTGAGTTAATTTCTCACTGTTCAATGAGTCAGCCTCGAGCTTATCTCCTGAGTAATTAATTGCATTTCCACCATGCGTATTTAACTAACCGGATTTTGTTACTGGAGTTTTCTCAGATACTTAGTTTTCGCTGCAACCAAAGATTTGTTGACAGTGCCCTTGGTATGATAAACCTGATCGCCATTCTTTAGAGTTTCTCTTGTGAACAGAGTATCATTGACAATGAAATACGTAGTGTTTGAGCCACATCTTTACTCCTTCCCCTCAAGGTATGCATCACTGTTGTCAAACAAGATCATTCGAGGAAAGCCGTCTTGGTCATTCAGTTTGCGAACCACGAACAAAGAAACTAGTCAACCACATTCTGCTCTGTCTCTTGGTAGATGAGGACAATCCGCTCATCGGTCTGCATTCATTTGTAATGCCATTACGAGCGAGTCACTTTCACTCTGACCAACTCAAACCGATTGTCTTACTTGGGCACGAGGAATACTTACGCCGTGAGTGGCCTAGTTTGAAAAATTTTCCCGGAGTCTACTGTCTTCCTGGCAGCCCACTATCACGTGCTGACTTGAGAGCAGCTCGGATCCGCTATTGTTCCGTGTGCGTGATCTTGGGGACCACTAGTAAAACGAACACAGATGACCCCTACATGTTGGATAAGGAGGCCATTCTCTGTTCTCTCAATATACGTGGCATGCATTTTCCACCCATCACATCGCCCTCTAAACGTGCTAAAACTGTGGATCGTCGATCTGGCTCCGAGATTCCCATCATTACTGAGCTTCTGAACGACGGAAACATACACTACTTGGATCCGCATGATATTGAGTCAGAATCTGCACACGTCCCACCACCGCTTACTGCTCCGTTTGCTCGGGGAATCGCGTTCACCAGTTCAGTGTTAGACGTACTCGCAAGTACTACGTACTTTGACAGAAATGCAATGAGTTTAATCCGCCACTTGATTACCGGTGGTGTAAGCCCAGCTTTAGAACAATGGCTGTCAGAGGGGGATGAGACAGGTGTTTACCGAAAAGGCGACGAGGATGCCGAATCGGACAATGAGACTGGAGGAACTAGATCAAGGGAAATCACCACACCAAGACTGACACTCCAGAGGGAACTGGGTTTGCTAGGCACACGACAAAGGCCAAGAGTAGCCCAGTTATCCGTACTCGATTCAAGGTTTAGGCCGCCGTTCCCAAAGGATACCAGCGCATTCTCAACTTTTGGAGAACTTTACTGCTATGCTATACAAGAAAAGGGAATATTGTGTCTTGGACTTTACCGCAGTAACTATGTGACTGAGTTTGACCTTGATCTCAGGTATGTTGTGCAACTGAGTGCGATCAGTGAAACTAAACTGGAAGCCACGCCTCTAACCCAATCCAAAAGTGAAAAAGTTAAGGTGAATAAGGAGAGACGTTTGAGCACCACAGCCCAACCAGTGGACCAATATATTCGCAAATATTCGCTTCAGCTTCAGCGAGAACAAAGTTTGGTCTGCGCACGTGATTCCGAGACCAGAACGTCCGGTTTTCTAGACAGACATTTGGCAGAACAAAGTCCCATGGGAGTAGTGAATCGATACGTGATCACGAATCCTCCAAACAAGTTTCGTATGTATCGTTCTGACCTCGTGTTCTGCTTGTGCCCATTTGAATCCAATCGAAGTCACACATGATGAATTGCTTTTAATACGCTGAGGAACTGAGCCTATTTTCATACTTCAGTGCATTATACCTTACCTGATCTAGTCAGCTTAGTGCCCAATCATGACTGTTGTAGAGCATTGAGTCCACGGTTCACAGCTATGAATTGAGCGCCGTTTTTTGCTAAATAATTATATTGACAAATGTGGTTGATCTAATTTCTTATCACATCCTCTCTTATCTACGAACTTTGAATGTCAGTGGACTTTTACCCAGGCAGTCAGTTTTCGAATTAGCATCTTTTGAAATGGACATAAGAAAAGTAGTTCCGTTGAAACCTTCAAGTACATTCCACTAAGCCATCTCACCAAGCTTCACTATGGTCGATAAAAAATGACACCGGAGTTTGCGTGTGCAGTACGGATATGTGTATTGAACATTCTGTCAATGACACGACTCTTGCTGCTGGTAGAAGACGATTAACTTCAGCATAACTCCACGAGTCGATTCAAGTATCTCTAGCTGAATCAGTGTTTTGAGCCTGCAGGCCAGGTATTGTTGGTAAGCTAACTTCTTCTCAGACAAGCGTATTACGTGGGTTGCGTCGGTCCACGTAGTCGCTCCAGCTTTCGGGACTAGATTGGTTTATGTAATCGCGCCAAGCCGATTTCCTTACTAATAGGTGCTTCCGAGTTCTGCTTCTGATGGAAGACTATGATTTGAGGCACTGAGTCTACATAATTTCCGGCGGGAATCTCCAAACATTTTAATTTACGTTAAGTCAGGGGAGCCACCTATAAGGTGTCTCAATCGCTCATTACAAACAGATCCGCAAGATGTTGCAAAATATGACGCCGCTCTTGGGGTTCAGCGTAATACAAAGCTTATTCATCAAAAAGTGTTTAGCACTGGCTCATCGATCCCCATTTCATCATATATAACCGTAAGTCCTCGAAACGAGGGCCACCTCTCAGCTCTGTACCCGACAGGTGAGATGGTGCCATAGTACAGTAAACAGTTAGGAGTTCCTGCACCTCAGTCTCGAATGCTACGTAGGGAGCTCCCGAGAAGTTTAATTGTCATATTCTGAAAAAATCAGAAAACAACAGGGTTGTAACTTGAAGTGAGTTTGATGTCCCGCTCAATAAAAGGTTGGAATCCATCTCTATATCATTTTACAGGCAAGTTAGCGCATTATACCAAGCTTTAAGCATTGAAAATTTTAAAATTGCGTGCTGTACATCCGAGTCAGCGAGGCTACAAACGATGTTTTGACGTCGTTAACACTCTCACTAGTCATGGGACTTTAGCCAATGAGACACCGGTTGGAAGCTTCGCGCATACGCGACAGACAGTCAAATGAAAGTGGTCGAGCACCACCTTCTGCGCTGCGCTGATGTGCGTCTGTAGGAAACCCCGATGTTTGCGCTCCAAACTGAAATCCTCCAATAGAAAATATGTAGTGCACATCTAAGGAGGAGCCCTAGCCACCACATGATCTGATGCTTACGCCGTAACCAGTGAGGACAGACATACTAACCACCATATGAAGCGGCATATACTCATTGAACGTTACCCGATAACTGGTGGTGGCTTAGCGGCATAACCATGGTTACCATGGTGGCGTAGATAGACATTGTGCTAACTGGTATTCAGCAGTTCCTTAGGTCTACGGGAGTCACGCAGACCTGCAGTTAAGGTTGGATAAACCCGCCGTGGCTAGGACACTGCACAAAATAAACTGAATCAGCAATGATACTCCTACAACCCGCTTAGTGGTGGCTTTAGACGGCATGACAATTTGGAAGGAAGGTAAACCATAGTTGGAGTAACGCGACTTCGTGGTTGCCTTCCCCAAGTCACAGTGCCGGCCAAGCAATGGTTAGTCGATGACCTCATTCCAACAATTGTGGTTGATTGCGACGGGGAATGCGAAAACCGTTGCAAACGAGATTAGATAAGCGTAGGACTTCCGTACAAATGGAAATATTGCAGCACTTCAAGTTGCAGAGCCAGCCTGTCGTATTCTTCCAGTGCATTGTACGCCGATGTGAATTGTGTAGCCAGGCATTCCTGATGTAGTGGTTCGTTGTGTTCTTATTGCAAGTTCTCTGGTTAGATAAATGCGTCATTGGATCTGTAGACCTTATTCAAAATAGAAAGATCGCACGTGTGGTGTTGACACGACATCAGTAGGTGTTCGTTTGTCTCCACACCCATAAGCGGCTTTGGTAATCGGTTATCACTTCAGTGTCAACTAGTATGGCGTTACTTAAAGGTCATGGGAAGGATGCGGAACCTATGTATTCATAGGATAGTTAGGCTTTACTTCCAAATGGTCGCCCATAGGTGTCGAGACAATGACAAGTGGCTCTCCAAATGGCACAATTACAACATAGTCAGTGCAGCTTAACCCATTAATTAATTCCATGGACTGCAATGCCGTCCTCATGAAATCGGCATTACTCAACAAGGAAACACCTAAAGGGGGTACACAGACTACCGTTTGAAATAAAGGAGAATATCCGTAGCTCGGGGTATGGATGCGTGTTTTGAGCTGTTCTCCGAGCTGAGTGATTATTGTACAGACGTTTCGTTGCCTGACTGGGCAACATCATCAGTGCGGCTTCAGGGGCTTGGTTCGCAGTGCCTCGTAAGCGACTTCAATGTCTAAGTGCTTATTGATCGAGTTCTGTTTTGAAAGCCAGACTTCCATGAACTCACGTGCTTGCCGCCTTTTAGCCCTTCCGAGGATACTGGCATACTCTACGTCGAATTGATGATTCTTGGCATCCATATGCACTGATATCAGGGAGTTCTGATCGTTGAGACGAATTGCCAGGCTGGGTTCGTGTAGCCTTGTGCCAAGATTTCTTCCAGTCTGTCCCACGTAGTATTTGTCGCAGTTCGGGGAGCAGATGTTATAAATCACACCAGTTTCTTCCTCTTTGCTAAGTTTATCTTTCACTTTGAAGAGTTTACTGTGAATTGCTCCCGTTGGCTGGTGTGCAACTTTGACTCCAAAAGGCAATAAAAGCGTCGCTGCCATTTCAAAGATTCCGTTGATATAGAGCAGTGTTGTTCTCTTTTCAGCTGTTGCATTTGTCCACGTGTGTCGAGCAACATTTGGTGGTGCGAGGCGGCGTAGAATGAAACCTTTTGGGTACGAGTTCCGCTTGAGCAAACTGAAGAGATGGTCTTCTTCTGCCCGTCTCAGCTGCGGTTTGCTACATAGGATTTGTGCTCGTTTGAAAAGGGTTCGCACGCAGTTGCGTTTGTGGGCTGCCGGATGATTGCTGCCATAGTTGAGGATCCGATCCGTATGATTAGATTTTAGGTAGACTGTTGTTTCCAATCGTTTAGCACCATTCCGTCGTATAAGAACGTCAAAGAATGGTAACTGCTCGTTTTTCTCCTCCTCCCTGGTGAACTGGATGCCATCGAACACACTGTCGATCAGTTCGTGTGTTTCCTCCAATTTCGAACGTTTGCAGATAACCGCACTGATGATGTTGCCTTGTCAGTCAACGAAAAGTCTGTACAATAATCACTCAGATCGGAGAACAGCGCAAAACCCGTAAAGACTACCGTATTTATACATGCCACCTCATCCTGCAGGATAAAACGCAAAGGCCGATAATTAGTGGTGGCGCACGCATTTTACTCTGGCAATTACGGTGAGTATTTGGAACAGACATACACCGTTGTCTTACCCACGGGCGTTCCTACAAGATGTTTGCAAACATTTACAAAGGCAACCGCGCCCACTAATCCCGCTATGAACCACCGTTTCAACCAGTCTTAGAAGCCCTCATGTGTGCACGCTGTGACATACGTTGTTATTGACTTGGCAACTACTCGGAAACATTTTGTCATTGGAAAGTAGGTAATTCCGGAGGCATTGTTGAAGGAGGAAAAGTGCTCCAAACCTTATGCTTACAATACGTATGCAGTGCTTGTTGGCGAGTCATATCAGGGTCATTGGGTCACCTGGTATTTCAAGCTTCTCAATCACATGGAAGTGAAACGTAGATATCATGCCGAAACGATCCACGGGTACTGAATCCGTAACTGATTACCGAAGTGGCCCACAGGTGTGGAGACGAACAAACACTCACTAATACCGTGTCACTGCCGCACAAGAACCCTCCTAGTTATGACAATGGCTACAGATCCAATGATGCTCTTACCTACTCAGCGACCATGACCTTAGTATTTATGCGCCGACTACATCAGCACTACGTAGCTGCACTATTCACATGAGTGCAGGACCAACTATAACAACACAACACGTGAACTTTGCAGCTGTAGAGGCTTTATCGTGTATATTTACGAACAAGTCCCAGCTTCACCTCCTTCATACGAAGTACCTCGATAATCACATGCATTTCCTAAACGAAATCGCACACGTATCGATTCTCCAGATTGCTTGTAGTAGCATGATTACACTATGCATACCGTATCACGTGTGGCCAGATACGCAAGCGAGCAAGGTAGGCAGTCGTGCACTCCACCCGTAAGCCTACAACGGTTCTCTTCCAACAGCTTGCAAGCGTTGCAGCCCCAAAACAACCAATCAATGCGCTTCCTATTACCACGCACTTGGATGTCATCTCGCTCGCATGGAAGTGAAATCTGATAACGCCAAATTGGCTTCATGATCAATCAAGTATTATGTCTCCGGTTGGCACACCGGTTGCGATCAATGGATAGGCTACCGACCAACCGAGCCAATCGTACAGTGAACCCGCTACCAGCCTGCAGGTAGTTTTAAACAAGAGAACAATCGTTCCAAAATGTGCTCTTGTTTCAACTATCGGCACATTCCGTGCCGCACCAATGCGCGCCTGAAGAAAACCTGAGGCGTTCTCTCTGGAGTTAAACCGTCCAATCGACATGACCGCAAGTGTCCATCCGACTGCACGCACGAACAGCGTCACACTTGTGACTCTTCCCTTTGGTGTGGACGCAGACTCAATCCCAAAATGGACCGCGTGATACGCAGCGGACCAATGTGTTCCAAAGCGCACGAGGTTTACTCAGCTACGAGTGCGGATTAACAGGTAAACTACCGATTGAAGCGCTCGATAATACTGGTCCCCAGGCCGTTTCCTTGTCGTGTTATCTTTCAACAGCCTGGCGATGTGTACGATGGTCCCGTACTGAGTCATTGTGCCAGCTCGTATTACGCAGCGCATGAGCTGTGGCGGAATTAGCAACACATGCATGCGCGGCTGGCCTATCGCGCACACCGTAGGGTAGACGGCGCAGACTCAGTCTACGCAAGGAAGGGCACGCGCTAGGTATGCATAGTGTAATCATGCTACTACAAG